AACAAGGGCATAATATGACAAAAGATGAAATATCATGCATTTGCAGTTTAGTCATTAATTGGATCAATTGTAAAAATTGAATAAAATTTAAATCAAAATCAACAATTAATTTTAACCACACGTTTCATGGACACCATAAATTTTTAATCTCACATTACATCAACTTTTATGAAAATCTATTAAAGTCTTTAAACCAAACATGGGCTTAATTTGCATTTGCAATTTCTATTTGGTACTCATTTTTTAAAAATTTATTATCAACTACATATTTTATACCTAAACTTTTCGGTCACACGTTTCAATAACTTTTACTATTAAAATCTACAAAAAAATTAATTTTTAACTAAACCAAATAGAGGCTTAATTTTAAAATCAAGTGCCACTTCCTCGAAACAATTTCTCCGTACTCCACTTTCCTTATCTATAGCATACGAATAATTCCTAAAGTACAGGAATATTTTTACAGATTTTTCACAGAATTTCAAATTTTCTCTCACATGAATTGGTCCCACATGATTAAAATATTGGCAAAAATCTCTCCCCCACCCACCTATGGTGTGAGTGGTCTGACAGGTACAAGCCTGTACCTGTAGCACTGCTCATAGCATACACCGTTCCTCGACTTCCTTTCTTGATGAACATCCCCATCTCCACCACCTCTAGAGACTCGACGTCGATGTTGTCGCTCATGGTCAACGCCCAACTCATACAACAACAATCTAAGAGTGGAAACCCAAATGAAGATGACAATGGGACGATGTGGTGGCAAGTCGATTAAGAAGAAATGTGTGCGACAATAGTTCTGCACTTGCAATCGAACTCACGGTGATGCAATAATGGGGTTTTAATTTATCTATACTTTATTTTTGAAATTGGTGATTTATGGTGGCGATTTTTGGCTTTCTTTGTCAGTTAGTGGTGATTTTTGGTTGAAGGTAATGATGGTTGTTGGTTTGGAATGGGGGTGACGACAACATCGATGGTGGTGGGTCGTGGAGATGGTGCATGAGATAATAAGTTATATTTTTAAAAAAATACACATGGTCAACTAAATGAATAAAACCATGTAAGTTACAATTTAGAAGAAACCCGTATGCTCTATAAGTAAGTTAACAGTCAATAAACACAGTGTAAGTTACGATGTTGTAACTTATTAAGGGCTTGTTTGGTAACGCTAAAAATCCAATTAAAATTGAAAATATAGTCGTTATTGGATCCCACCCCAGTGTAAGTTACGATGTTGTAACTTATTAAGGGCTTGTTTGGTAACGCTAAAAATCCAATTAAAATTGAAAATATAGTCGTTATTGGATCCCACCCGTCTAATAAAAGTCAACAATAACGACCAGTTTTTCAATTTTAATCCGATTTTAATCTCTACCAAACACACTCTAAAAGATTACACATAAGTAAGAAACATAAAATTACATACACATCGAAAATATGGTAGGAAAAAAATACATTAACGGTAACAAAAAATAAAAGATTTGATGCTACCCTTGATTTTTGGAAATAGTTTTACTAGATTTTTGTAATGTTACAACAATTAGCATCCATTTGGTAGAATTTATAAATGGACAAACTTCATTTTTAATTACATATTTTCCCCATCTATCATTCATTTTTATTTGTTTATAAATTAAATTGGATATAATTTTTTTTCCAAACAGAAGCTTATCAATTCACCTGATTTTTCAACTTAGTCCCCCAAATATATATATTTGTATGGTTATCACGAATAATTTGTTTGTTCGAGTACACAGATGTGTATTTAATACTTAGCTATAAAAAGTTTAGGATCAACCCCGTGTAAAAAATTTGGTTCTTCATCGAATTTTACATATGTGCAAGTAATGTTCCTAAACTTTAAATCATATTTGATTAGTCCTTCAATTCAACCTTGCCCAATTCCTTTAACTAGTTGAACACATCATCGAGAAGCTAAGTTTTTTTTTTTAATCCTTCAGATGAACCACTAAAAAATCTTTAGCATTCAAAAGGAAAGAAATAGAGAGAGAGAGAGAGAGAGAGAGAGAGAGGCGTGTAGATTTTGCATCCCAACTCATCAACTTGATAGAAGGTTGAGTAGCGCATCAAGTGACTGACTACGAAACTCGTCAACTTGACCCCTAATAAATTCAATTTTTAATAAAATGTATAGTAGATATTTTGTAAATATTCAAATAAAAAGATTTATATTTCAATAATAAATCCAAAATAATCTGAAACATATACGACAAGTTAATGAGTAGCGTATCGTTCAATTTAACCCAACACATATTTCGTAAATTGGCGACCATTGGATTCTTGATGCAGCCTTTTGTGAAAGACAAAGAATATCCGCTGCTTTTTTACTTGCGTTTTACTCATTATGATCATTTACCTCTGTTTGATAAACATTAAAAATAGTTTTTTGGGAAAAATAAGTTTTGGAACAGTGATAATTTTGATAATCTATGGTTAAAAAATAGGAAAAATTTCGTATTTACGTGCAAAATATTTTATTGCGTGAATGTATGATTAAAAATAAATCTGAGAAAAAAAAATTGAAAAAAATGAATGACAAATAAGGACTTAACCGCTGCTTGTGGTATCCCATCACATATCGCAAGTTGTGCAGCAATAAAGGATAGAGAGTTTCCATCACAAAGCCTTGGGAGCAAAGCAAAACATGGTTAAATTATCCCCCAGCCGTCTTTCGATGCTAAGGGACAAGGCCTTTCCTTCTTAAAATTCGTTTGATAATGACTACATCTTAAATTATTCTTAGTCACGTACTATTTCTTAAATTATTATATATATCTTGAATTGAAATAGGATGGAATAGAAACTAGAAAGCACATAAATGTGCCATTTTTTTATTTTTTTGTGGGAATAATCTTGTGAAATTTTAATAATCGAGCTATGTTGGATAATTTCAACATATATGGGACCACACGTTGTATATTAAAATGTGTGGTGCTATTATTTACCGGANGGACCATTCATTATCTTATGGTTATATGGGGTCATGGTCCCCAATTTGTTGTGTTAATCAAGATTTTCTGCATTCCCATCAATAGAGATCGAAAATGAAAAGAAGATCACAAATCAAATTGGAAGATCATAACCCATTCAGACAAAGAATCAGAAAGCTATGTATCAAGGTATGTTTATGTTTCCGCTATTTTCATTCTTATGGATTTCAACATGGATGATTATATTTGAGAATTAAGGATTTGATTATTATTTTGATCGATAATCTTATTATGTTTTTTACAACAAGCTATCCTCACCCTAATCGATTAGGGATATATTTAACACGACATATACAAAGGTCTCCAAGTATTCACAGACGTCCAACTTAAATTTTATTAGTTAAATAATACCAAAACTCAAGTTATTTACTTCAAAATATTGATTTAGAGTTTCAAAACTCGGCTGTAGACATCTGATGTGATATTGTTTGTCATTCTTAAATTATTACATAGTTTAATTATAGTGTTGGAATTTAATGTTCTATCATTAGTTATAATTTATTTGATCTTATTTTTAAAAATTGATCTTGATTTTTGGATATTTAAGTTATCTATTAGTTTTTAAATTTATATTTTTTATCCTTGAATTGCATTTTACATTCAATTCGAGAATATTAATACGTAGTGCTGATTAATTTTACTTTCTTTCATCTTAGTTATATGTGATTATAGAGTCATAGACTTGTAATATTTTATGATTGTTGTATATCCAAAACATTTCCTTTACCACTTAGAAAAATCCAAACCCGATTGTTTGGTAGAAGGAAGAAGAAGATGGACACTGAAGAGAGGAGAGAAAATTGTACGTGTATATATTCTAGTTGATCGAAACGAAGGCAACATGTGCATTTAAACACAAGCCCCCATAACCTCATCATCCAGCCGTCCGAATTGCCACATTTAACAATCTCAGTTAAAGTGCAACGATAGTATAAGTCGTCACTTCAGCTAACATGGTCTAAATCATCATATGGTCGAGTCTTGGATCGATAACAGATTTGACCACACTCGTTGCACTAGATTAGCTCCTCAGCACACCCAACATGGACATGTTTAGAGACTTGTAGTCATTTGGTTACGAGAGAAGAGATTTTACATTTTTACATCTTTATCTTTAACATGTCTCCTAAAACTTACTTTGTGTACATTTTTAGTATATTTTGTCTGTATTTTAATATTCCAAATAGCTAGTAGATGCTTCTTTCGAGGCTTGGCAAAACATGGTCTAATTGGGCACTCTTAGTCTTGATCACTGACTGATCAAACTTGTGAAGCAGTAATTTTTAGTATTATGTTGTATGTTTTTCGGAGTTCATAAAATAATTTTATTGGTGCAAGTAGCATTATTGTATTTTATTTTAGTCCAATGGAAAACAAACAATAAAATTAAGGGTGTTTTGAAAAATGATATAAAAGTTTTTTAGAAAGTAAAAAATACTGTGTAAAATGAAAATGTGACACAACGTCACCTTTTTTATAAAAATTGTCACTTTTTTTTTTTAAAAAAAGTGACACAAATTCAAAAAAAGTGACAAAACTAGAACAAAAGTGACACTCTCTCTAAAAGTTATAGAAACTCAAAAAAATGATACAAACTCAAAAAAGTGACAAATATCAAAAAAGCACCATCTATTTGTGCAGCACCAGTAATCATGTTCTTAAAATAATCAGCACGTCCAAACCAATTCACATGTTGATTATGTTAGGAAAATATAACATATTATTTCATTTTTTTATATTCTTAAAAATTGACAAAACTTAAAAGGTGAAAAAAAAAACTTAGAAAATGACAAAATTCAAAAAAGTGCAAATTTTTAAAAAGTGACGAATTCAAAAAAGTGACACAAATTAAAAGAAGTTATATAAATTAAAAAAGTGACAGACAATAAAAAAAAGTGACACATTCAAAAAGTGACAAATTCAAAAAAGTGACGAATTTTTTTTTAAATGACAATCTATTGACGAAATTCACAGGCTTCCTCATTATGTAACAATTGAAGTCGAGTTTTTCCTTACAAGAACATTGGGCTGACTCTCAATATCCTCATCTTCTTCATCAATTCCATCCTCATGAATCAATCTTCCGTCAGTCACCTGACCACCTCGAATGCCAGCATGAGTCATCTTGAAAACTTTCAATTTTAAGTTCGATTTCCTGTCACAACCAATCCAAGAATCACATAATAAATAACTTGCTCTTTTTTCTTTTTCTTTTTTTACTTTAACCATAACAAGAAATGCATAAAAGTCGATGGCTAATACAGACCAAGTTTCATAACATCCATAACACAAAATGAATCGATCCCCTTAAGTTCAGTCCTACACTCGAAGCAAATAATTAATTCGTAGATGCAATGTTTTCTTCCTGTCTATTACGTAGTGAGCTATAAAAAACACATCTCCAATGGCATCCTCAATCCCGAGATTCAAAGAACTCAAACATTCTCTGTCTCCATCTTTTTCATCATTCTTCACAAAATGTTTCGACTTTTGCCTACACAATCTCAACCGATCTTCCAAAGACACTTCTCGGATGAATGACTTAGCAAGAGCACTTCAATGATCGAATCACTTCTTGATCGTGGGCTACTTCTTTTCAGCCAAATTACGGTACCGATTAGCTTCCATTTCGATCACGCTCTTCTCGTTCCAAAGTCGCAAAATCATAGCCATCGCTTCCTCTGCTGCAGTGGCAGAAGCTGCCCTTTCTTTCTCAAGTTCTGCATAAGCTGTATTTGCTCTCTTCCTCTCAATTTTTACCTGTTTCCTCAATTCTGTAATATCAAATTCTTCAACTGTATCAGTAAACTCTTTTTCATCATCATCACATTCTTCATTATAATTTGTAATTGTTTTTTACATTATTAATAGTCCTCGACCCACATTTGCAATTTGAACTGAAATTCTCGTCAAAATCATTTTTTGAAGAAAACCCATCTAATTTTCCTCTAAAATCACCAAGACAATCCAACCAAACTGCTAAAGAACTAAGAAGGTTTGAGTTCTTTGAATCTCGTGACCGTATCAAACTCCCCTCCAAACTACGCAGTGATAATGTCCTTCGCGAAAGCCTTCGACACCGTCATCATCACCATGCCCACAGCGACTGAGGCTGTTTTATCACTGTTGGGTGGGGAGGATGGCGTCTCTTTGGGAGTTTCTAGAATCAGGAATTTGATATGGGTTTTAGAAGTTTAGAATGTATTAATTACGTGATTAAATGTATTAATTAAATGCTAATTGGCGCAAAACGTCCCTACCTTTAAGGGGTCTTGTGCATAACGTCTCTACCTTTCATTTTTTTAAGTAGAACGTCCATACGTTTCACATTTTTGGCCAAGAACGTCATTTTCCCCAATTTTTGACCATTTTACACTCCAATTTAAATAAAACCAAAAAGAAAAGAAAAGAAAAATAAAGAATAAATTGCAATTTGTTCCTAAACTTTTTTAAAAATACAAATCAGTCCAAAAACTTACAAAAATATTAAACAAAAAAAAAAAAAAACCGTCAGGAGCTCCTAAATGCCGGTTATGGACCCAATTTCCACCTCATTTCGGCCACCAAAATCGCCGGTTATCACTACCAACTTAATCTCCTCAACATCCTCTACAATTTCCACCCAAAAACTCCCCATTTCATTCACTTACACGCCCGAAATCATGCATCAAAACCAGCAAATCGAAATTCTGCAACCTGCTGAAAATCTCTCATCCGGCCACCGTCATGGTCGCAGACCACCATGAACTGTCTGCCCAGGTCTAGGCGACACAGAATATGGTCCCAATTCACTCCAAACAGCACACCATCAAACTGAATTAATTCATGAAATATTGTTGGTTAATTCGTTTATCAAGATTTAAAAATGAGTTCACGGAGATCCTCAAAACCCATAAAATCCCCTAACCAAGCAACCCCTTCAAGACCATCTTCTGCTTCATCTTCATCTTTTTTATCATCCCATTTAGTCATGGTTGAATTGAAACAGAAAATCATTAACTCTCTATCTAAACTTTCAGACCGCAACACCTACCAATTAGTTGTGGAGGACCTTGAAAAAATTATAAATTCACTATGAAATGATGGTGTCTCGATTTTCCTCAACTGCCTATATGACGCTGGCCCGTGGTGAAGAAGGAGAGCCTCTATCTCCTCGTTGCTCTCTGCACCGCGTTGGATCCCTGAGCGACCCACTTGACAAAAATAATTGCCCACATTGTGAAGAAGCTCAAGGACTCAGATTCACCTTTGCCTGCATTTCAAAAGCTCTACCCGAGGATGTGCAAATACTTGAATAGCCCCAAGAATGAATGTAAAGTGAAGGGGCTTTTTTGGTCAGATTTGCATTTTAAAAAAAGTTTATGAACATATTGCAATTTATTCTTTATTTTATTTTTTTTATATTTAAATTGGAGGGTAAAATGGTCAAAAACTGGGAAAAAGGATGTTCTGTGCCAAAAATGTGAAAGGTAGGGACGTTTTGCACAAAATTCGTCAAAGGTATGGACGTTTTGCGCCAATTACCCTTAATTAAATAATAGGGTATTATTCAAATTTCTTAATTTTTAGTAGTGGGCCTAATTTTCCCAAACAAATAAAGGCTAAGGCCCATTGGGACTTTCCCGCTGGCACAGTCCACACAAAGGGAGAAGCCCAAATGTGGCTATGCCAAGGCAAAGTTCGGATCTCTTTATAAAACAAATTATAAAAAAAATATTGTTAAAAAAATAAATTAGCTAGGGTTTTATTCATCGCACTCCGTCGCTTCCGAGCTGCACAACAACCATGGAGGTACAGTCCCAACCTCTAGCTCAGCCGCTATGGAGCAATATATTAAAGCAGCAGCCAAAAAATCCGCCACCTCCGCCGGCGCCGCAACTATACTCTCCCATTATCAACAATCAACATCACGGGGCTATGGTAGGGAGTTGCGATTCTCGAAAGGGAATATCTGTGGCGGTGGTCGACGCTAACGCCATAATCCAAGGCGGCGAGAGGCTATCCCTCTCGGCTGATCGATTTGTGTCCGTCCCTGAGGTCATTGCTGAAATACGTGATCCCGCTTCGCGTCACTCCCTCAATTTCCTTCCATTCTCTGTTGACACTCTCGAACCCTCTCCGGATGCCCTAAGAAAAGGTAAGGTTTTGGTCAATGTATTGCAATTTGAGAAGCTTATCTAACCTCTTCAAACTTTATTTTGCTATTACATTGCTTCAATATAAGGAAAATCAAAAGAAAATTTTGGCTTATATAAGTGGAACGCAAATTTGTTTCCATTTTGTTTTGTTCCTAAACTCATTGTTGCCATAATCAAACCAGACCGACCGGAAAAAACTGGAACCAATCCAGGAATCCGTCTGATCGTTTCTACAAGTAATGGGGTTGCACATGTAGGTTCGGCTAAATTAAATAGGCCTTAATTGTATGGCGCCACCAATGACATTTGCAGGCAGCGCCCTTATGTTCGCCATGGCTGCCATGGCGAAATCCTAGTTGCCAGTGGTTGAGAAATATGTTTATCTTTGAATAATAATTTATATTGCTTTATCATAGATGTTTCAGATTTTTGGTTTTGAATCATATTCATTGGTTAATTAGATAGGTGTCTAGTAGAAGTATCAGTTGCTTAGTGCTTGCTTGGGTTTATTATTATCTCCTTATAATTTGAAGTCAAAGTTAGACATTAATTTAACACATATTCAAAACTAATACCCACTTACTATCCACACATTCCATGGGACCCGTTATCCTCTTCATCATAGTTCCCATTATAATTTCCCGAACAAGCACTTATAGTTAATAAAAATTTGGGTATAAAGCTGCCCAATTTTTTTTTTTTTTTTTCACTTCAGGGCGTTCTTTTTACTGTGGGGTTTTGTGTATCTTGGCACGAAGTTAATAGTTTTCAGTTGCATCAGTGACGATCAGTTGTAACATCAAGAAAATGTATGCAGAGAATTTTGGCGATATAATGATAGGATATTGAATAAACGGGAGACATCACAATTGATTAACCATAAATTGTAGTGACGGTTAGTCATCATAATTAATTGAATATATATGGATTTTTATGAGCTAATTTTCTATTGGTTATGTAATATATGAAAAATAAACTGAATTTCTTTATCCATCATGATGTGGAACTCACTGTCGGTGTCTTATTTAACTTCAAACTCTGAACCGATCTTGATGTTTGGTAATGCAGCGATCAATTTCGCAAGGGCAACTGGTGACTTGCAAACACTTTCAGATGTGGATCTTAAGCTAATTGCCTTGACGTATACATTGGAGTCTCAAACCCATGGAACTCATCATATCAGAGACAGCCCTCCTCCTATTCACATGGTCAACGTGAAGAGACTGCCTGAGAAGGACATGCCAGGGTGGGGATCCAATGTTCCCAATCTGGAAGAATGGGAAGCTCTAGAGCATGCAACCGAGGGTGGATCGATTCCGAATTCCAGAATTCTTCCCATGAAAAATTTGAACTTGAATGCTTTATCCACAGATGAACACGGTACTGAAAACGGTTCTATTCGAGATGGTAGTGAATCACAGTCTGGAGGAAATCAGGAGGATGACGATGGTGGATTCGCTAAGCCCAGGAGATACTTACCGAAGAAGGAGATAAACATTGAAGGGAAGAAGATGGTTGCTGATGGAATTGATGCAAGAAAAAGGAGATAATAATTTAAGGGAAAAAGATGGTTGCTGATGGAATTGATGCATCGTTGGGTCAATATGACGATGATTCTGGTGACTGGAGGCCTGCTGTAAGTCGAAGTACTCATAGAAGATTCCTGAGAAGGAAAGCTAGACGTGAAATGAATGCTGAGTTGTCCGAGAAAGGTGATCAACAAGATGCAACTGAAAATGCGAGTGAAAACCTAGACGATGAAGACCAATGCCCAGATCTCATACCAGATGAAAGTTACGAAGAAACAACAAATCATGGCTTAGGAAACGGTAACGTCATTGGTGGCAAGAGTACTGAAGCAGATATCTCGGAAATTTTGAATAACATGAGGCTTGAAGAAGAATCTCTAAAGTCTGTTCCTGAAGGTGAAGAATCTAATGTTGAAGTCGGTGATGATGGAACTGAGTTCCCGGAGACTACTAGCCAGACTAGTGAGAGTGTTGATGCACTACACATGGACGAAAATAGTAGCGAACAGAGCTGGACACTAAGATCTTTGTCCGAGTCCAGTGTGGCTTGTGTAACCACTGACTTTGCCATGCAAAATGTGCTTCTGCAGATGGGTTTACGCCTTGTGGCTCCTGGAGGAATGCAGATACGTGAGCTGCACAGGTATATGCATAATGCACTTGTGACCCTTTCATGAATATATTTATGCCATGGCTTATTGCCTAGCCGAGTTATCGTGTAGACATGCATATAGGGGTCGCTATAAATGCAAACAAAATTATGAAACAAATTTCTTTTCATACTCAGGTGGGTGCTGAAATGCCATGCCTGCTATAAGGTGACCACAGAAATTGGTAGAATTTTCTGTCCCAAGTGTGGAAATGGGGGCACTCTACGCAAAGTAGCTGTTACAGTTGGCGAAAATGGTATTGTTCTGGCAGCACGTCGACCTCGTGTATCCTTGCGTGGTACAAAGGCAAGTATATTAGTTGATTACTCTGTGCTCTTTTGAATGGATTTGAGGATGTTTTATTGTTCTTTTAATATTTTTAACTAATATTGACATGTGCATTTGTCAACATCTGTGTGACATTTATTTTCTGTTAAATGCAAGAAAATTTAATTGGATATGCGATGGAAACCTTTTCTTGACCACTTCATATCACTAGCTTTTGCATATAATAAGCGATCTGGATTTGCAGATGTTTTCTCTTTGAATAAAGTATTTTAAGTTAGACCAGTTGATAACTCATGTCTGTGTGTAGCGCCACATGTTCTCAACTCTTTACTGATATTACCTTGCACAAGTCAGCCTTTTGCTTTGCATATACATGCATTTCATGTTTTTATGTTAATGCAAATCTGCATTCCTGGGATTGTAATAAGTGAACATGTGTTAATAAAGATAAGGAGAAGAAACGTATTATATTGGGTCGATTGCGGTTTTCAGCAACTAAATGACGATTGCTTGAAATATGCTGGATGATGTAAATGGCATTAGACAGCAAGTAAACTTGAAAATATTTAGTAGTAGGTCTTTTGAGCTATGTTTGCCAACATTTGATATTTTCCTCACTGTATTGGTGGTTTGGTCAAGTAATTAGTGTGGTTTGTTTACAGTTCTCATTGCCTTTACCCCAAGGGGGCCGAGATGCCATTACGAAGAACCCCGTTCTACGTGAGGATCAGCTTCCACAGAAGTTCCTGTATCCCAAGACCAAGAAAAAGAACAAGCAGGTGAACTGCATTTTTCTCTCTTTCCTCTTTGATCTGATAATTTTTTCTTCTTTATCCAATAAGTTTTCCAACTCCCACGTTTCTTGCACAATTTGCATTGTAGGGAGACGACATTTTTGCTCCAGATGATCTTTTCCTTACCCATACCAGCAAGAAAGCTCCGCGGCAGCCTCCTGTACGGAAAACATTAGCTGTTTTCGGTCAGAAGAGGAATCCTAATGATAATCATTACTCTCGTGCTAAACATTGAGTGGCATTTATTCACAAAATATTTTTGTGGCGTTGGTGCCTAAAAATTATATGTAATGAGAAACTGGTTGCAGAAATTTTGTAGTGGCTTAATTTGAGGTTGGTGTGCGAATATTTCCATGTTTTATGGTGAAAACCCTTAAATGATAATTACGAGTATTGCTCTCTTATTTCTATTCCTATGGCACCATACACATTTGTGTTGGAAATGGTGGGTCAATTGGGTCAAGTTTGACCACAATTTTAAGTGGGACCCGATGTTCAATTTATCGAAATTAATGTTCAATTAAATTTTACGATTCGAGTAGATAAGTGTAGAATATTTAATTGTGAAAAATCATTTCAATATGAATGAGAAATTATGGTTGAAAATTGGATAATAAATAATAAGAATAAATGGGAAAGAATTGAAAAAATGTTCCAATTCCACATAGGTTGTAAATACAAATTGGAATCACTTAATAAATTTCAAGTTTGGAAATGGGTTTGGGGTCCAAGGGGTACCAATAGTCTTTGAAATGGGGGAGTCTTAGATAAAGTCTAGACTAATCCAAGGCCATGCACGGGAGCCGTCGCCGTCCGTCCGACCGGCCGGCTCGGGTCTTGGGCCGAGCCTGTATTAATATTAATTTTTTGGATAAAATTTATTTAAATTTTTATCTGAATT